TCAGAAGGACACTGAAACAAAAGGTTACCTTTGTACCCTTTTGTACAAAAACTTAAGTGTGTCTACAGGTGGGTTTTTATGTGTATGATGTTGTTGTTGTTTGTTTGTTTGTTTGTTTTTGTCCTGCAGGAGGAAGGCTGAAAGGGTTATGAACACCATCTGTGAAACCACCAAGGAAACAGATGGGGTAAACATAGGTTTATTCAACTTAAATCCTAGTGTGCTAGAATTACAGGCTACTCTTTGAAATCCCAGAGAGGTAAATTTAGGACACCTAAGATCAAATATGAATTCATACTCTTAAAACTCATAAAACCTGAACTTAAGAGATAATATAGGTTGAAATAGAAGTGGCTTTGTGAAATGGGAAAAAGGGACATAATTCCAGTTTAACAGGATTTTTAGGACACTACCAAAATTCTAATCCCCACAAAGCAACAAAACAAAACTCAAGATAAAGCATGTGAGAAAGGATGTTCGCTTTCCTTAACAGAGGGAGAAAATTGACAATGTGAAAACTGGTGAGATAGTTTCTTTCTTATTTTAAACAAAGAGATGCAGTGATTCTTGGGAAATCTAATTAAGGTTTGAGCATGTACTTTGATACTCTTTACTGACAACCTCTCTGCCCTGACAGTTCTATAAACCAGTAGGCTAAGGACTATTCTTGCTCCAAGCTTTCATGGATGGATCTGGGTGCACAAGAGTTTCATAGTTTGAGATCCAAACTTTTCAGAAAAAGAGGCAAATTCATTGTCCCTCAAAGTCTAGGGTCAGAGGGATAAAATGCTGAAAAGGGGTTAAGAGCTTTCAAAGGAGAATTCTGGTGACCCTATCCCAACAATTTAATAAAAACTTAATAATTTTAACTAACAGTAGTTAAAAAACAATGGCACTATGGTGTTGACCCTTGTTTAGCTTGCTGCATACTTGTTTACTGTGACTTCTAGATCATTTTAAGCCAGACTTGAAAAAAACCCAGTTTTCCGCTTGATTCATTTTTCCTTCTTACAGGGAGAATTTTGGAAAAAGAAAAGAAAAAAAGAAAAGAGAAAAGCAGTGAAAAACAAGACAAACTAAAATCAAAACCTCAACTCAACACAGCCCTAAAAATTTCAAATTAGCATGACTGCAACTTTTTTGCATGTGTTATTTACAAGTCTTTTCCTCATAGATACATTTATTATTTTTTTACATAGCTGCAGTTCTAGTTAACATCACTCTGATTTCCACTTTTAAAATGTAATCAGTAGTTCTCAACTGGGGGTGATTTTCCCCTCAGGGGACATTTGGCAAGGTCTGGAGACATTTTTTTTATTGTCACAACTAGGGGGGCTGTGCTCCTGGCATCTACTGGGTAAAGGCTAGAGATGCTTCTCAACATCCTACAACACAGGAAAGCTCCCCACGACAAGGAATATCTGGCACAAAATGTTGATGGTGTGGAGGCTAAGAAACTATGAGCATTAAATCACAGTTTCTAGTATGAACAAGCATCATTTTTTAATGCATGAATTAAACCTCTCACCGAGAGGGATATGTCATCATTAAGGTAATCATTTCTCTGATGTTGGACTATTAGGCTGTTTCCTATTTTTCCTTATTATAGATAATGCTGCAGTGGACATCTTCACTAACTTTTTTCGGCTGAATTATTTCCTTAAGATAAATTCCCAGGAGTCAAAAACACTGAACAAATGAGTAGGAGTATTTTTTCATGCTTCACAAGTTATTTTGCCATTTTGCTTTACAACTGGATTAAACCAAATTATAACCCACCAGAAGTGTGTCAGTGTACCCGTTTCACCAAAATATAGGCAGTACTGGGTGTTACCATTTAAATAAAAGTGAGAGGCGGCATACATCTCGAATATAAAATGATACCTCCAGTTTGCCTCAATCTGCATTCAAATTGCTGCTCAGGAGAAATATTTTTCCATCCTTGTTTTCTATTGCTATTATTTTTGATATAAATTGTTTATGTCTTTTGCTTATTTTTCTAACTGGTTCTCACGGTTTTTCTTTTAAAATTGAATGTAATCTTTATCGAGCATAGATAGCAATGCTGTCATAGTTAACACAATATTTTTAACTTTTTTTTTTAGTTTTGCTTTTTCTGCCCCTACAGCATAGATATGTTAACGTAACGTTTCCTGCTGGAATTTCCATTTACAATTTTAATACTCTTTTTTAGGTGCTGGTCACCTCACCCAACCTACAGCCTCAACACAGAGAGGCCCTGGGGAAGAGAAGCTTCTCTAGCAATTGATGTCAGCCGCCGAGGTAAGAGCAGTACTTGGTCCCCACGGTATGCGGGAAGTAATTTCTCTTAATCAAATGAAAGGCCCGAGGAGGAGCCACAAGGCAGAAAGAAAAATATACGTGAAGGAGAATACCAAATTCTGTGAGGAGTTTGAAAGACCTGCATTAAAAAAAGGGCATCATACCTTTAGGACTTCAGAACTGGCAATGCTCCAGATGCAGCTATTAATATGCAAAAAATGCCTTCATAAATACTTGATTCTGTTCACAGTGGGGAGGCAGTTCATTTGAAAGAGGAAATGGGAGCTTGGAGTTGAAACATGTCTGCTTGTCTCCTTTTTCTTTTTTCACTGCTCTTTTCATCTGCACATTTTGTCCTTGTAGTTTCTTCCCCTCTTTTGGCGACTTACCCCCCTCCTCCAACTCCCAGGAAGTTGTCGAAGTTGTCGAAGTTGTCGAAGTTGTCGAGGTCGTGGCTTCTCCCACTTCTATTTGCGGATTTGCCTCGAGGCCCTGACGCCGGGCCAGGTGTGGAGGGGGCGCCTCAGGAGCCGGTCGCCGGGTTGGCCAGCCCGCGTGCGGGAGGCTGGAGCCGGGCTCCTTCCCGCTCTCTTCCGCGCCGCCGGCCGCCCGCGAGGCCACGCGCCGCCGAGCTTTCAAAACTCGCCGCTAGGGGGCGTCCGGAGGCAGCCTCCCGCACCCGGGGGCCAAAGCCACCAACCCGGTCAAGTCGGGCTTGCTCTGTCGCCACCCGCCCCGTCAGAAATTGTTTCCCCAGTCCAGGTCTGTGACTTCTCGTGAAAGCATGGTGACGCCCAAATAGTCCACCTTTGGTGGTTTTTTTTTTTTCCTTTCCTCGCGGCCAGCGCCATGATAAAAAAGTGAAAGTGTTTTATGCGACCGAACTCCTAATATGGTCAGACCCCAGGGAGGGGGAGGCAGGGGGTGGGTGAGTGAGGAATTAATGGAAAGGAAAGAAAAGTAGAGACTGCTGGTGCTGATAAAGATCAATTTTGTGTGCTCTCCTAGCCTGCTTCGGAGTGGGAAGACAACCCTGCAAAGGAATCCACTGGATTTGCCCGCGGCCCATCAAGGGACGGAACTGAAAATCTGCGGGGCAGAAATTTGTTTTCTAAATCCTTCCCAGATGCTTTATAGTAAACATGAAATTAGTCATTTACATGGAGTAGGGGGAGGAAGTAGTGAAAATTGAAGCCAGTGATTACTCCAATGAAGGGCCATTGGCCTCAAGAAGTGAGGGGTGGGGGAGGCATGGGAGCCACCTCCCCTTCCTCAGCCCCACCCCCATGCTCTCTGTGTTGAGGGGCTGGTGGCGCTCCCTAGACATTTCCTCAAACGGCTTTCCTTTTGGGGGCTACTTCTAAGGGGAGTAAGACTCCTGTGACTTGAACAAACCCATCGGTTCTGTGGGGAGCGACAGCCCACCTTTCACAAAGGCCCACGAAGTTTTCAGAGTAAGCTGGTTGGCCACGGCTTCACAGGGGAAACCCAGGATTAGAGTTTAAGACCCTCGGTCTGGTGTTCCTCTTTCTGACTGCAAGGTTAATAATTCAGTCTAGGGCTTAATTTGACGTGACTGAGCCACCGTTTTATTGCAGGTGATATTAGGTCTCCTGAAATGCCGCCGCGGGAGCAGTGTGAATTTGGAGGCTGTTTAGGGTATGTGAGGCATCCACAAGGCCTTTGGTATTAGCAAAATGTAGCATAGTTATATTCTCCTTAGTCACAGAGTCCCTTAAAAAAGAAAACCTTCTAGGTCCTTACAAAGGCTGTCTCCAAAGCAGGCATGTAAAAAAAAAAAGAAAAGAAAAGAAAAGAAAAAATGCAAACATTGGTTCAGTGATTCCTCAGTAGCAGGAAGGGTCAGCTCAGCTGTGTTTTACCTCAGCGGAGGCCTGCCCCAGGCCTGGGGTTCTAACAGTGAGAGTTCAGATCCTTCCTTAGAACGCAGCTAGGCACACACATGAAAACAAAACTAATTTTATTATTACTGTTTTTTAATGGATGTGATGGAAGAGGAGAGAGCCAGGCAGTGGCAGGAAGTGGGGGATAAGGGAGAAGTAGAGATCATGCCCCCTCCTCCCTGCCCAGGCTGTCGTACAGCAGGGAGAGACCTGAGAGTGCCCTGGAGCTGTGCTGCTGCTGCTTGGGGTTCTCTGAGACCCTGGGCACAGCTCTAAGGAATCCCCCTGAGTTGTCTCTCTAGAGTGAATTTGAAGACACTCTCAGTCTCAAACCTTCAAATGAAGGAACAAACTTATACATATTTGTGAATGTACATCCTTGAAACACTAATATTTCTGGCCCATCCAAATGAAGCATTTTTCTCCTTTCTTCACAGTATCCTTACATTTTTTTCTTGATGCTACTTTTTCCCTCCCCATTAGGAATGAGAAATGGATGGGAAAAAATGGGCCCTTTAGCACAAGTTAGTGCCTACTGCCTTGATGGATGATACCTTTCTCTGTTTCCCTGTTGCCTTTTTGACTTTGCAGAAGTCAGGGAAAGGCTGATTCAACTCACTCGGGCACATAAGAGCCACACAAAATAGTCCAAGTTTAGTTAAGACATTCCAAGGAACCTGTGTGATTTTACTGATGAGGCAAATGAGGCCCAGAGAGATGAAGAATCTCACCCAGGGTCACACAGCAAAGGCAGCCCAAGAACCCAAAAGTCCTACCTCCCAGTCTCATGCTCATTCAGAGTCAATACTGTACCTGCTTCTCTGGCTTTTGGGTCAAAGGTGAGATTTCATTAAGATTCGTGAGAAGACAGGTTCTGGATTCAGTGTTTGCTATGGTGAAAATCAGAGAAAAGGATCAAAGTCAGATCTAGGTCTAATTAGCTTTTATATATACTATATACATACACACCTAGTTCATGTGTACAAGATTATAAACACACACACACCTATGGCATTTGTATTTACTCACCAAACAACACCTGCACCCTCTAGAAGCACCATTTACATAGCATGTTAAATATAGTGTTGAGAACTTGTACTCAGATATCTATTTTTCTTTTTTGGTTGCTCTTTCAAAGAACAAAAGTAAATTCTTTGTGCTACTAAAATTCAGATAAAGCTGAAATTAAAAAGGAAATATTGATGGAAAAAAACCTGCTGATACTGTTGACTATAAATTTTGTATGATCGTACTTCACTGAAGTGGGAAAATGCTTCTGCAACCTTCCAGATAGAGAGATCAGAGATTTCCCCTTTTCCTTATAATGTGGAAGGGCAACAAGAGAAGTGGAAACATAAGGCAAACAAAGGCAAAGGCCAAAGTAGGGCTGGTGAGAGGGGACTAAGGGACCTCATGGAGCTTGCCACAAAGCAGCTGCCCCCCCCCCCCCACTGACGTGGTGTTAATCGCCATGATTTTCCTCCATGGTTGCAGGATCACTGCTCTCCACAGGGGTGGAAGCTGAGGCTTGAAAGCTAAACAAACCTACCTGAGGTTGTACAACTAGTGAGGTTTTCAGGAACGGTTTTGTGCCCAAGACTCAAACCCCGTGCTGCAAAAGGATAGGATTTATTTTTGTTTTTCTTTTTATCCCCAAGAAAGTGAATTTAATGTTTATAAAGGAATGTTTATTTGAGGAACAGATTTAGCTAAGCACATGGCTCTACTGACAAGGGTTTTAGTCAGTCTCTAGTGTGGGTTGAGGGTCCAACAAAAAGTTATTTCTATGCTTGCTACTTTTAAGAGCCCATGGCATCTTTGTCTTTTTGACCTGAAGCTTCTACTCTTTCCCTGTGGGCTGACCTTTCCTTTCCTGTTGTTTCTCAGCTGTCCTGTTTGAAAATGGCTTTAGGACAGATTTAAAACATTTCTTTTTTAAAACAGCTGGGAAAACTGAGGCCCAGAGAGTGGTTTCACAAGATTGGCTTAAGGCTATTCCTTGAAATAGTGTGAGACCAGAACCTGAACCCCAATCTCCTTAGTACCTAATACTTTTCCCTCCACATTGCACTCCCTCCGTTAGCCTCATTTGAGCTTGCCACATCACAGCTGCTTGGCCATGATCCATCCTCTGGACAAATCTAGCCCAGCAGAATTGTGTTGAGATGAGGTTCACTTCACTGTGGCTTGGAAGGAACCTTGGGTCTCTTTGAAATGAAACTTACAAATTCTAATGCATAAAGAAAGTTCTTGCAACACCAGGAGAATGAATCAGTCAGCCAGAGTTCAAGAAATGTAAACACAGTTTTAGATAGGAGACTAAAAAAAAATCGCTTCGGACTTCTCCATCTCTTGGGTCAAGACCCTGGTAATTTACTGAGGTCCACGCTGTCAAGGAGGAGACACAACTCAAACTGCATTCCTGGGAGATAAAGCAATGGGGGTGGTAAGACTTCCTCTCCAAACAATGTGGCAGGATCTATCCTTGTTATCAAGCTGAAGAAACTGACTGACCCATCACCCAGTGCAGGCAACTGGCTGTGAACACAGGCTCTTTCTCATCATTCTGAGCTGGTGTGTACATTCACAGGCTACAGACTGCACAGCTTCCAGGCCTGCTTGAAACGGGGAGCTCAGAGTCTTTCTGTGATGAACATTTCTGCCACTAAAGAGATAAACAGAAAACACATTCCTTCTCTGGCTGCCCACCATCAGGCCAGAGCGGATTTTCAAATGCTAGCATTAATCTAACCACAGGCTTTTAGCAAGGAGATAGCATTCCCACCAGATAATCAGACTGTTTCAGAGATGACCCTTACAAGATGGGGTCTCATCCCAAACTCTTCTGCCTTCTTCAAATCATGGGATCCTTCACCAAACACTCAAAAGCATGAAAGAGCTCTGATTCTAGCATGGAATAGGGTACCTTAAAATTTCCTTCTATTTAAACCTATGTTGACAATGTTCATTGTTTTGATAAAAATGAAATGTCATATTTATTCCCATTGCTTCAAAATACTTATTTCCCTTGGTATGGGATGCTCTGGTGGGACTCATCTGGTATCAGAATAGAGATCAAGCCAAAAAGTCATCTTATCAGGGAGACTGGGCCACCTGGCTCTTTCACGGTTGTATATCAGGGCTTGGGAAAGAACATCAGACCCACAGGCTCCATGACCAAACATTCTGTGGTTACCAGGGCAGTAGCTTTTGGAGGTGCTAGTAGGAGCCTCTTTAAATATGTGTAGGGCCTTTTCCAACATATGTCATTTCTGAGACATGATTACTCTTTGATCCCTAGTATGCTCTCATGACACTTCCCCCATAATTTGCAGTGGTTCCTCATTGGAGAGGGGATATATCCACTGCCAAACAGATCTCAGAAAGCACTTTTGCCTTCTCACAGTGTTACACATGGATTTGCTGACACTAGCAGAAGCCAATAGGAGGAGTCTTAAAAGTCAGCCTTTGTACCTTTGTGGTTTTGTTATTTGTGGTAAAAAATGGAAAATGCAAAGGCAAATTCCAGATTAATTTAAAAAATCTTCTCAGTATAAACGAAACCATAAAAGGAAGATAATTCTGGTCCCTTTACATAGCCCTGCTGACCTTTTCTTAAGAATGATATCTAAAAATACTTTATTTTATATGATATGACTCAAGATGCCTATGACCTATGGAGTGTTTGACGTGTTAAAACAAATCTTGATCTGCTTGTTTAATGAAGGAAACCAAGACCCAAGATGGCCTTCTGGTATTGTCATTATCAAATTCTTGGGATAAAATTTAAGACCTTGTTTATGTGACACATTTTTACTTTAAATCTTGGATGAAGAGGAGAGTGAGATGGGCATATCAAACAATTATTCAAGACCTGAGAAAATCTCCAAGCTAAAGATATACCCCAGGGAGCTCTATTAAAGGAGCCAAGTAGACTCCTTTAGAAGATAGAAGTTGGTCTGAATTTAAATATGGAAATGCCTAGTAAATACAAGAGCAATATTTTTCTTCCAAGTTGGAATAACAGTTCTTTTACATACTTATGTCTTCTTAGACCAAGTCTAGCTCAGTCTCAAGAGTTTGGCTTTAGCTTTGGGAACACCAACTTCTCTTAAAAGTTCATAAATTATTTTTTATGGAAAGGTCCAAAGGTACATGGCAGTTTACCAAACCCAAAATGGAAGGCAAACTAGATGATGGAATTTAAATTCAAGTTGTGTGACAACAAAATATCAACTACATGAGAAACCCTCCAGTCAAGATATATCATAGGATTAATAAGGATACCTGTGGTGGAAGACTGTGAGGAAGAAGGGAATTAACAAAAGGCTGAAGTTGGAGCTACAAAGTGGCCAACCAATTCAATTCATGTGGTGATCTTAATTCTACAGCAGATACTGTTCTTGGTCACTCACAAATAAGTATAGATATCTGGTCTCCTAGCCTCTAGGCTTACCCCCTTCAATCCATTTTTCACATAGTTGGAAGAGTCATTTCTCTAAAATAAAAAATCTGGTTATACCAATTCCTGCGTCAATAGGATCTCACAATCTTTGGGATAAATTTCTTAGTTGCTATAATGGCTTTTCACGATCTGGGTCCTGACCACCCCACTAGCTAATTGCACTTCTCCCCACTCCCTTTCCTACTTGTGCCCTGGGGACCAGTCATTAGAAGCCACTTACATTTCTCCTATGTCTCCATGTTCTCTAACTTGAATGTGGTCCCTTTCCCTGGAGCATCCTTTCCTCTTCCCCACTTGGCTAGTTCCTACATATATCCTTAGAAAGTCAGCTTAAGTGTTCTCTCATTCCAAAAGCCTTCCCAAACTCCGGGTTGAGTTAGTCTGCACTCATTCATAGCTGTCACCATACTTCACTACTGTGGATGACACTAAGGCATGGATTTTGTCTCTCAGCCGTATTCATGTGCCCACCACAGTATATGGCATTAGTAGATGGTCAGTTAGTGTTTGTTGAGTGAATAAATGAATGAGCAATCCTATGTGCTTTGTAAAACAGACTTATTAATTCTTTCTATTGGACATGTTCCAGTGCTTGTGTCTTCATTATTTTTCAAATAAGGAATTGTGGAGAATTAAGACAACAGTAAATGAAAATCCATAGGCCACAGGAAGATGTGTGAAAGAAGCAAGGGAGAAGCTAGGAGGAAAAAAAATCCTAAAGAAAAGCCTCATGCTTCTCTTTATGGCACAAATATCTGAGGGGTGATGAAACAGAAAAGAGTATTTATGGATTACTAGTTAATGAAAGTTATAATTTTTTGATTATCCTGACAGAAGAAAAATACTCTAAACTTTATTATAGGTTGAGAAATATAACTGATAATACACTCACACACTCATACACACACACACACACACACATCTTAAAATCTATACCAGCCTTAAAATGCATTGTGCTAAGCATTACTTCACTACTTGAACAAGACCCTGATCCCTCATGCATATTATACACTAAGTGAATAGCAGATTCTGGCTACTTGGAAGGGACACAGTCTGAGAATTTCAAGAATCCTTAGATTTGTGAATACCCCTTGTGTATATCATAGCCCCAGTAAAAAGAGGGGGAGTTCTTCAAGCTCTTAATGAGTCTATAAATAAAGGGTTAGGGTGGTTTATAAAACTATTTTGTTTTTGGCAGAGAATCATCAAAATGTTAGACCACATCACTTTCTCTTACTTTCATCACCAGTCCTAGCAGCTGGCCTTCTATTTAGGTCCATTAAACAATATTTATATAAAAAGAATCAATGTTCTTCTTTTTGAAAAATAACTTTACAAGAGTAATTGCACGTGTTATAATGAATATAGTTCACAACAGTGAGATGTGGGTGCTCAGAGGAGGGCTAGGTGCACTCACTAGCTTAGTGATGGTCTTCCGTTTTCCAGCCTCATAATGTCTTTGATTTGACTTCATGCCTCTGTAAGATGACATATTGTATGTATCCCTGATTTGTGAAGTCATTTGCGAATAGGTGAAACTGACTTTCGAGTCCACAAATACCCAAAGTCCACCATCTATATAATTCTTTAGAATCCTATCATTTTTTTTCCTGAAAATATTCATTAAAACCAAATGACCAAAAAGAAAACAAAAAGTTGTGAAAGATCTATAGTGATTCCAATGCATAGATGTTTTAAATTGCTCTTTGAACTCAATGCCAGGGAGTATCAAGCATTTTCTGAGTAGTGTTATATCCATTTTCTTAAAAACAAATGGGAATGTTAAGCACAAATAAGAATTTTTTGTTAAGGCCATTGAACAAATCAAAGGAACAAATACATTTCCTACATCTAAGACCTGAAAGAGGTGCCCTATGCTTATATGGGCAGTCCCATTGGAATGGGAGTTGCTATTTAATAGGTATAGCATTTCAGTTTTGCAAGAAAAGAGTTCTCGAGATTGGTTGCCCAACAATGTGAATCTACTTAACAGTACTGAATGGTACACTTAAAAATGGTTAAGATGACAAGTTTTATGTTATATATATTTTACCACAATTTTAAAAAATGACAGGGGATAGGAGGAGATGAGGAATTGTATTCTGGGCAGAGGCAACAGTATATTCAAAAGCTTGGACATAAGAAAGAGATTTGCATTAGCCTAAGGTCTTTAGTTAATAGGAGTGGAGAAAAGAAGAAATAAAAGTTTTCTTTCCTTTTCCTGAATATAGAGCTTGCCATGGGGGCAATTCTGAAATAGTCCAAGTTTGTCTTTGGCACTCTACCATTTCCCTTTCTGTACTTTTCTTCTTCTTCTTCTTTTTTTTTTAAAGATTTTATCTAATTGTCAGAGAGAGAGAGAGCACAATCAGGGGAGCGGCAGTCAGAGGGAGAAGCAGGCTCCCCACTGAGCAAGGAGCCTGGTGTGGGACTTGATCCCAGAACCCTGGGATCATGACCTGAGCTGAAGGCAGACGCTTAACCAACTGAGCCACCCAAGTATTCCAGTGCTTTTCTTCTTGTTCCTTCTCCAAATAGCTAATGTCCTGTTTATCCAAGCCCTCCAGGGCAATCCACCACCAGTCAAGCATATTTCAATTCTTAAAACGTTCTTTACCCTCAAATTACCCACCTCTCCTTCTACTCCTGTCAGAATTTTTAGTCCCTCAGAGCAGCTGTTCTCAGCTAGGTTGCCATCTGACAGCCACCTGGACATATAATTTTTTTTTTTTTTTTTTACTAAAGTGTGAATGACTATTAGCTTCTTGGAAGTATCAACCTTTTAAGAGAATACTTCTGAATTCAAAGTGAATCTATTAATAAGGTTTTAATAATAGAATGAAGTGAAATTACAACATTTTTGGCCATATTAGGAAGAATGTTTTTGGTCTGGAGAGCTACCCTATAAATGGCCTACCTTCCTAGAAAATCTGTCTCAAGAGTTTGGCTTCTCCCAAACTGTTCCTACTTTTTTTCAGCTCCTTCCCTTCTCCCCATGTCTCTCTCTCTCTCTCTTTTTAAAGATTTTATTTATTTATTTGACAGAAACACAGCAAGAGAGGGAACACAAGCAGGGGGAGTGGGAGAGGGAGAAGCAGGCTTCCTGCCGAGCAGGGAGTCCGAAGTGGGGCTTGATCCCAGGACCCTGGGATCATGACCTGAACGAAGGCAGACGCTTAACAATTGAGCCACCCAGGCGCCCCTCTCCCCATGTCTTTAAAAGTTGCAAATCATTTTCAGTGTTACCCACAAAAGGGTGTCTGATGCCAAGTAAGGGGGATTGGAGGGAGAAAAAGATGTGCAACAGAAGTCATTTATTTGTGTGGGTCATAAAGTCAGGAACGTCCTAAAGTCTCCATTTTGTCAGATGGCAACATGCCTGTTAAGATTGACCTCACCACCAACCATGCATTGTGGTAAAAATGCAGGGCTCTGGGGTTCAAATCACAGCTTCTCCATTTAGCTGTGTGACCTTGGGCAAGTCACTTAACCTCTCTGAGCCACACAGTCCTAGATGAAAAATGAGGATAATGATAGAGTTTACCTCATACCATTGCTGTGAGGATGAAGTGAAACAATGAATGTAAAGCACTCAGCACAACGTTTGGCATATCAAAGATCTATGACAATGGTAGCTATGATCTCCATGATCTCCGTCATCATCATCATCATCCTTCACTAGGGGGCTCCTATTAAGAGCTGCCCTGGCCCAGTTCCAACCAACAAGTGAGAATGAACAGAACTGACGCTGAAATTTCCCACCACGGTCAGGATGTCCATCCAGGGAGAATGGCAGGAGGGGTGATGCAGAATGCCAGGCTCTCAAGTACTTCCCTGCTTACAGATTTTGAGATTGGCAAGCGTATGATTGTGCCTTTTCTCCTTCTGGTTTTGTAGTCTCTGGCAAAAACAATTCCCTCCCCCTAGCTCTGGCCCCAGTGCTCCATCTGGGGCATTGCTTCCTGTCACGATAGCGGGTCCCTCATTCAGGATTCATTGCTGCCTGCCCCATAACAAGCAGTGAGGAAGACCACACACATTTCTCTATTAATCAAAGACTATTTTTAGGAGAGAGAGAAGGTCTCTACATAATCTTCCTTTCCCCCGGGTCTGAAGCAGAAGCAGCAGTGGCGATAGGTAGGGGATGAGCTGCAAAGTCACCCTACACTCCTAGTTTTTGCTTCTTTTTACATAGGGAATTGAAGTATGAAAGGAAGTGTGGAAGACGTAGAATTGGCCTCAGTCCTCCATTTAGAATAGAATCCTCGTCTGCGAGGATTTTCCAGATAGTTTCCTCATTTGTGGTTGTGTAGGCAGAGCTGTGCACAACTCTAGGGGCTGTGCCCATCTCATTATACTGTGAGTTGTGCCGCGTATGACCTGCAGAAGCCACAGTACCTCCCCACAGATTTTCCTTCCTGGGCTAGCTAAGCACATGCCCTTGGCCCAGCTCCTCTTCTCCCCTAATATTTACACTCACACCACAGCACACTGGGCTACCCATGAGTACCTCATGAGGACACCACATTTCCCAGGCTGTCCAAGAAGTGAAACCTCTTTCCTCCTTGTTGCTATATTTGGGGAGAAATTGAGTGTTTCTGGAGGTCCCTGTATGAAATAATGTGCATGCAAATCAGACGATACAGAGGAGAAGTAGAGGTGACTTTTTTTAGAGGAAAAGCTTACTTTTTAGGGGATGTTGAATACTAGACCTCTCCTTTTCATGGCTGGTGTTTGAATTGACAGATTTGTAGGCTGAAAAACAATAGGGGTTTTACCTGTGTGAAAAAGTCTTGAAAAAAAGCGATTTTTCTTACCTCAAGACAAGGGAAAAACCAAGTGGAGGCTTTGATGCTGAAGCCTCATAATAAATTGAATGGTTTAAAAAAAAATCTGTTGATGTTATCATGGAGAGAAGATTGATCTGGGATTTTAAAAGCACTGAGGAAAATAATACTTTTATTTAAGATGTTTAAGGGTGAAATCCTGTAGGGACTGTGATGCTAAAATCCTGAGCGGAGAACTTTTGACAGAGCAAGAACATGAAACAGTTAATGCCTGACACATGCCGTGAGGAGATGCCCAGATTTGAACAGCAGATGTGCTGTGGGGCCCCAGTGCGTGCAGCAATGGGGGGATGACAGACAAGGGTGAGGAGCCCCAGCCTGCAGCTGTAGCGCAAATACAAGGGTTGGGCCAGGGGAGACAGGAGGGATTCTAGCCCATCTGATTCCGGCCAAGGAGACAGACAGGCTTATGTACAGCCCTGATTTTTTTTTTTTTTTTTGCAATCTCTTAAAGTTACCTTGGGAGAGAATTAGTCTCCTGGCTGTCCTTGTCAGTCAAAATGAAAACTAGTTAAAACAATGCTATTTTGATGAATGAGGAGAATTTGCATGATGGGCCAGAGAAAGACAATTAAGGGGGTTGATAATAGATAGCAAAGAGGTCAACTGAGTGGATCTGAGATGGAAGAACAGTTTTTAATGGGAAATTTGGGGTGTGTGTGTCGGGGGTGGGGTGTGTGTGTGAGATATTGAGGAGATAGCAAGAGGGAGGAAACAGTCAGAGGGAATCATAGAAAATTCAACCTGGAAAAGATTTTGAGATCCTCTAACTGCCCCCTCCTCCAAACTCATTTGCAAATACATGTATGTGTGTATTTATGCTTCCTTGTCTCATTACTGATAATAAACATACTAGAGAGGTTGCCAAAAAAGGATGTTTGTTTTTATTGATTTGCTAAACTGTGGTGGGCTTGGAAAAGCCTGTTCCTTGGTGTTTTTCCACCTCAGAGTACACAGACATAGTCACACGCATGCATAATAACTTAGGCCGAACGGGGCAGCTTGGGATTCTAAGAACCAACACTGGAGAGAGGAAAAGCCATAATTAGTGTTAATTGTTGACCCTACAGTTCAAGAATAGATGCTCTGGAGAATGGGAAATGAGAACAAACATTAATTATTGAGTAGGGACCTTGGAGACAGACACTCTGGATTAAAAGGAGAGAGATAAATTGCATAATGAATGTTAATTTTCCCTCAAAGAATTGAGTGGTCGGTGGTTGGAAAGGAAAAAGAGGCTAAAACAATCATGAAAGAGAAACCTCAATGTGTGTCAGGGCATGAGGGTACAGGAGGACTATACACACACTTTCCATCACTGCTTACTGCCTCACCCTTTGCCTTACAGCTCCCAAGAAATGTGCTCTCAGGGTTTTCCTTAGGACTCTTACTATTTACCACAGTTGTCTGCTAGGGAGCTCAACCACTTCCCCAAGAATGCAGAAGCCACAAAACAAGCACACTGCACACTGACACATTGAGAGGTGTGTGACACTGGAATTTATTTTTTATGTGTGTTGGTGGGAGTTTGACTTCAAATGAGGGAGGTGGCTGGAACTGAATGCCTCTCAGGAGAAGGCCGTGGCCCTGAGCCTGCTGCTGTGGGGGTGACGGGATCCGGGGCCTTAACTGTTGCTTTATCCTAAGTATAAGACATCACACACACACACACACACACACACACACACACACACACACAGCCTCCAAAGAAACCCTCTTCACTGAAAGTGAAAACAGAAAAAAGTAATTTGAGTCAAAAATGGGAGATGAGGATGGTAGCCAGTTTTTAAAAGAGACTATTATCAGGCTTGTCGCTGGCTGCTGGGATTCAGAGAGCTGGTCACATCCCCACAGCCAGGCAGCATCTCCTACGTCTGTGCGCGGCCTTCTGTTCAGGCCCTCATCAGCTGTTGCCTGGATGGCTCTGAGGTAGCCTGAATGCTCAGCCTTTTCTCTTGCCTGTTCCTTCATGCTGGCGCACGCGCTGGGTTATATGACATCCCTCTTCAAACATCTGTGATTCCTTGTTGCCTAAAAAGCAGCATCTCCGCTTTATCCTGGAACACAAGGCCTTCTCTGGTCTGGCGCTGGCCTGACTTTCAGCCGCATCTCCTCCCGGGAAGCCCCTCACAGTCCATTCACAGGGACTGCTCATCATTTCCCACACGTATTCTATTTTCCTGTTTCTCTTTGTTTTGGTTCATGCTGGTCCCTCAGTTGGTCATGTCTTTCTCTCTTCTCTGTTTATCCGCTTCCATTAGTTTCTCAAAGGTCAGTGCAAATGGGATCTCTCTGCAAAATTCCTTCCCGGCCCCCTCGGTTAGAATTAATGGCTCCTTCCTTGAACACCCCTGAATCGTGTCAGTGAGGCCTCTAATGCAGCACTCCTTCCATTCTGCCTTGTGATAGAGTGAATTGGTTGTGAGTTTGTCCTCACCTGGTCTGTGAGGCCCCGTGGGGCAGTAGCCACAGGTGCTGAGCCTTGGAAGTGGGATGAGAAGAGCACAGGCTCTGGCATAGGTGGGCCTGGAAATGAATAAGCTAGCTGCTTACTGGGTCAAATCAACATGCACAAGGGAGTTAAGCTCCTGTGTTTCAGTGTCCTCACCTATGATATGTGAATGACAATACTCACTTCATGGGATTATTGGGCTCATGGAATGAGATGACATAGGTGGCACAGTGCCCGAGAGTGTTTACTCTCATATCAACATCCTTCTCTGTCCCTTGCATATTGTAGATGTTCAGTACATTTTACTAAAGGAGTCAAGCACATATGTAATGGGTCTTCTCTCTTTTAGGCGCAATAATATTTTATATCAGAATTTTATTTAATACTTAACAAGATGTATTGCAAGTATAATCTTTTTTTAAGATTTATTTATTTATTTGAGGGAGAGAGAAAGAACAGGCATGCGTGCGGTGAGGGAAGGACAGAGGGAGAGAATCTTCAAGCAGACTCCTCGCTGAGCACAGAGCCACATGCGGCCCCGTCTTGTGACCCTGAGATCATGACCTGAGCCAAAACCAAGTGTTGGAAGCTCAACCGACTGAGCCACCCAAGCGCCCTAAGTATAATCTGGTTTGATTGTTTTTTCTTCTTCTTCTTTTTTTTTTTTAAAGATTTTATTTATTTATTTGACAGAGAGAAACACAGCGAAAGAGGGAACACAAGCAGGGGGAGCAGGAGAGGAGGAAGCAGGCCTCCCGCTGAGCAGGGAGCCCGATGCGGGGCTCGATCCCAGGACTCTGGGATCATGACCTGAGCCAAAGGCAGACGCTTAACGACTGAGCCACCCAGGTGCCCCTGATTGTTTTTTCTTCTTAAAGATTTTATTTATTTATTTATTTGTCAGAGAGAGCACAAGCAGGGGGAGCGGCAGGCAGAGGGAGAAGCAAGCTCCCCGCTGAGCAGGGAGCCCGATGCGGGACTCGATCCCAGGATTCTGGGATCATGATCTGAGCCGAAGGCAGACACTTAACAGGCTGAGCCACCCAGGCATTCTGAATCTGGTTTGATTGTTACAAAGTATAAACTAGGATCGCAGATATTATTATAGTTGCATTATTTCAGTTAAGAAACATGACAAGTTGCTGTACAAAGAGTATCTAGAAGATAAACATTTATTTCCCTTTCCGATAAGAGTGGAGAGGTAGGTGGGCGGACTAGGGTGGTTTTGCTCCATGAAGTTATCTGAGCACTGGCATTTCCTATATCTTACGGCTCCATTATCCCATAGAATACTGTCCTCTTCTGCTCGGTTGAAGCTATTTCACCACCTCAGCCAAGTCCAAGGGGAAAGAGGACCTCCTTTGGTAAAAAGGAGGGCGAGCAGTATCCTTTTAAGAAAATGAGCTGAAAGTTGCACATGTTACATCTCTTCACATTTCGTTAGCCACAACTTAGTCACATGGCCATGCTTGGTAGCAAGAGAGGCTGGGAAACATAATTTCTAGCCAGCAGCCATATAGTCAGCTAAACTTCGGTGCTACTAATAAAAGGAATAATGAAAGAATAGATATTGGGGAACAATTAGATTCCCTGCTACTCACAGTTTCAATCTTTATTTATGGGCCATGTTTCAGGAATGTACATGCTGTTTTCTGAGATGTTCAGAAGTAGATAAAGGGGATCTACCCACACGAATTTCAAATCTTGGAGAGGAAAGAAGAAAAAAAAGTAAAAAGATAAAGGAAGTGATCGGGTGCCTGGTGAGAGGCCCAGGCAGTAAGAATTAGTGGAACCTAAGAAAGTAGCCATCAGCGTGGGCTGAGGCATCACAGTGAAGGTGGGAATTCAGCTAGGTCTTGAAGCCTGGAAACCTGGACAAGTAAGACTAGAGGCATGTATGAGTTAGTGGGAAAAGCTTTGACCTAAGTGGGGGCAGAAAAATCTGGATTTGAGCCTTAGATTTGCCACATAGAGGCTGTGTGACTTTGAGCAAATCACTGTACTTCTCTGGGCCTCAGTGTCCTTATCTACAAAATGAGAGACTTTTCAAACTGTGGTCTCATAGTTCCAGTGGCTCTGTATAGACCCCCTGCCTGGGAGTCATCTTAGGAGGGGAAGAACTAGCTGGACTGTGGAGAAGTTGCGGGGAGACAGACCAAGCCCACTTCAACCAGACAGCTCTACTTATCCATTTTATCTACTAGGGTCCTCAGCAAGTCTATTTGGTAAGCACTTCTTCTGCTTAAACGACAATGAAGGCCATGCCTACATTCCCGCTTGACTCTAAGGCTCTCTGAATTGGATCAAACGTAAGGGAGGTAGAAGTCATAGTTTCACAGGCTTTGTAAAAAATGTAAGTACCATCATATGCAAAAAATAAAGAGGAACTAAATATTCTTCAACACTTCATACTGATTTTTTTTTCTCAAAAATAAAAGAATTCCCAGCAGATTCAG